ATGGTAAATCGTTCACTCTAGATGAGTACTATAAATGATAAAAAAATCATGTCTTCCGAATGTACTATTAAGATTTTATGGAAAAAAAGCTAAAGGTCTTCCGGCCAGACTGATCATCCCCATATGATCATCCAGTTTCTCATAAAGTAGCTCCATTGTCAATGGAAAAGGAGTTTTCTGTTTAGTTATCAATTCCTTACTAAGACGCTGTCTTTTATTTCGTTATAAATGCATTTACTATTACTCGTCTAGTCAGAAGAGAAATTTTATTTATTCCTGCAGGAATAATTCAAATATGTGAAAGAACTTGTTTGCTAGGAATATTTTAAATATTACAGTATCATAGTATCATAGTATGATTTTCATAGTTTCATAGTTTCACAGTAACACTTCAATAGGTCACACTATCATACCTGACGACCCGGGGCCGCAGGGAGAGGGGAGCCGGCAACATGAGAGTGAGTTACAAGAGAGCATTGCACTACTTCTTCTTAGGTGAATAGGGTATGAAACTATGAAAGTCATACTATGGTACTGCGACACTATGTAAGTGATCGTATTATTATGAGATTCACAGTATTACTGTGATACTGTGAAACTATGAAACAATGAAAGTAATACTGTGATGCTGTGGAACTATGAAATTATGAAAGTATGAAAGTCATGCTGTGATTCTGTGAAACTATGAAAGTCATACAGTGATACAGTGAAACTCTATAGTATAAAACTAAAAATGACACGCTAAGAGCTCTGTTCTATTCAATGTTAATAATTATTTTGGCTATTTTCTTGTTCTTTTATGCTAAATCGAGGACAGGTGATTTTGTTTAGATTTTCTAATGTATAATGAATTTCTGGAGATGATTAACGAAAACGTAATCGCGATTTTCTCTCTAGTTATTGGTGTGAACGTGGTGCAGTACGACGACGTTGAGTAGTAAAAGATGAAGTGGTGTCAGCAGCAGTAGCATATTGTGTTGTCCTTGCTTGATAAAATTTCCGCTGGTGGATCAGCTCGTCGGGTTCCCCTTTTTCCATATCTATCAATTGATCACCATTTTGCTAGTTATTTGTTGGGATCTGCATATCGATAGTTCCGATATATTCAGGTAATGATACTTGAAACTTCTGTAACTTGTCGGAAAATTCATTAGCTAAACAATCAATACTACATACTTGATTCATTTCGAACTAACTTTTGACTTGAAAAACATTGACAGTATATTCGATGTGATTGGATTTCATCAGCCATAAGCAGTGGTACTATTTACACCTTACCATATGCATAAAGTTCCTTATTAAGATAATACTTGTTCGAAATCGACCTCTCCTAATGAAATAGAGGTTTGATCGTGCACAAACAGTTCAATATGTAATATAATTTAGCAAATAACCTCATCGCATTTCGTGCTCAGTTTCTCAGCATTCATCATCTCAAAATGACAGATTTTCGCAACCGTGCTGTAAGAAATTGAACCGCAAACGGATTTGAGCCCAACACGAGTGTCGACTAGATGCTTCAACAAACAACGCATTCTGATGGGAAGCGAACGTCACTCCTCTGTCGCACTGAACAAGAATTCTATTGTCGATTCAGCATGTTACTATTCTTCTAAATTTTGTGATGTTAATTCTTCTAGTTTCTTTAATTGTCACTTGTTGCTCTTTAATTTAAACCAATAACTAATTTTAAACTGAGAGATCGATAGATGGTTACAATATAGAACAATTTCAGTTAATAGTCGTACTTAACGGATACTTTTAGCAAGTGTTGTCTCAACTGTTTCACGAGCTAGGAGGTCTTACTTCAACTGTATGATAGCATACACCAAATTTAAGGTTTAAACGAAATTTTAATTTTAATTTTAAACCGTGTTCAACAGTTCTACTGGTTGGCGTCATTCATCGGACAGAGATACACGTATATTTTATCGTGTGGTCGTGTAGTAACAAAGAACGTCGTCAATTACTGTAGCTTCTCTCTCTCCGTCTGTGGGAGGAGAAGCAATATTCACAAGTGGAATATTTTGATAAAAATGACTTCATGGTATAGGGACTGACGACTAAGTGCATCCGCTATAGTGTCACTAAAACATATAGGATGTTAAAAATTCGAACTGAAATTCATGGATGAAAATTTTAGATTAAAATAAGCTTCAAATAACATTTCATTTCCCCATATTTCTTTGTTATGCTCAAGCACAATCAATGATATGTCCAATGAGGCTGCCTCACGACGAATCTCCAACACAGTCTAGGAGGGACGCCCTCATCGGAGATCTCATTAGCTGTGCTTGAGCATAACAAAGAAATATGAGGAAATGAAATGTTATTTGAAGCGTAATGAAATTCAGAAATTTTGTCTATGAATTTTAGTTCGAATTTTAAACATGCTATATGTTTTAGTGACACTATAGCTGATGCACTTAGTCGTCAGTCCTCATACCATCAAGGTCACTATCCTTTCTTTCGTATTACAGATAGACACATATCTGTAATACGCACTTATGCGTCGCGCATATACTGAGTATATCCACAAATAAGGACCACAGTAGAGAATGGAGATGAGTTTCTTGTGGAGAAACATCGATTTTGTCACGAAAAAAGATGAGGTTCGTGTGGAGAATCATCGGTTTCTGCAGGGAAAACAATAAAGTTCTTCTGAAGAAACATTATGTTGTCAGTTGTTGCTCTTTAATTTTTTATTATATGTTATTGTTTTTCGGAATTTATTGTACTTTGTTCTCTCTTTTATTTGTTGGGCTTAAATGTAGATGCAGAACTCTGATGAGTGTTTTATTTTAATAAAGAACACAAAACGCGTTAGGGAAATAAACTCTGCATTTCTTTATTTTTAACAAAGTACATCTATTAATTTATTTTTGTCGATCAAATCGATTGCTAAGAAGCAAGAGTTGGGACTAACAGACTGGATTTGTTTTTCAATGACAGGTCAGTCTGTTTGCATTTTGAATTTTAGTAATTAACATGTGTAGATAATCGTCGAATTAGTCGGTTGATGACACTATTGAATTCATCTTTATATATTTTTGATGGTAATACAAATACGATAAATGTCACCATCGATGGTAAAAATGAAATTAAATAACCAAGAAGAAATAACCATGAATTACGTGGTGATTTCATACATTCACCAATAAATGATTTGATTAGCCGCGGTAATGCTAACAATGCCAATGTACATGATGCAATTAGATGATGTTTATGTTGTTTAAATTGTAATTGTAAATGTTCTTTGAACGATAATCTTGTTCGTACAGTGACACGAGAACGAGCTATTAAGATGATAATGAATAGAATAGAAATTAAATTAATGGAAAATGGAATAAGAAAATGAAAGAGAGTGATAAACGAGTTAAAAATATTGATTGAAGAAGAATATTGAATTAAACACCAAGTTCGTTGTTCGTCTGTGTCAATATCATCAATCAAATGACGATGTAGAGGAACATGAAGATGAGTAATAAGTGTTAAAAGAATGATACTTAAAGTTATCCATTTAGCTATTTGTTTACTTTTAGATTTGTTAAAATTAACATTTTTGATAACAGTAAATACTCGTTCAACAGAGACACACCCATCAAGCCAATCATCTGAAGCCAAAAGAACTTGAAGAATCATATCTAATAATATACAATTTAAAGTAAGCAATGATCGATTAGTAAGAATATTTGAGATAAAACTAACTGCCAAAATTTGATGATCAATACATTTACTATGAATATAGAAATCCATGAAGAAACTAATAAATAAAAACCACAACCCACATCTGTTGCTTTCTTCATGCGAAATGTCGATATAGATAAAATCCCATTGATCGATCCAAAAATGAGCATAACTGTTGTGGACGCCACACTCATTTGAACAATTAATGGTTGTCGAAAAAACGAGACATTTGGTTTAATATGATAACCAAGAATACAATCAAGTGATAAAACAAAACCTCTTGTTGAAATGTGACATTTTGTTCCATAATAACAATCTGAACAAACACATACTGATACAGTTGAACATGTGAAATTGTCTTGAAAACATTGACCACCATTTTTACAATCACTGTAACCATGACAATCATAAGTGATTGAATGATCAAATGTGAAACAATTCGAGAATCGATCCAAATCACATATACACATATAGTTTTCATCGTACAAGCACACCAATTGTTGATGTTGTCGACATAAAAGAGGATAGTATTTAATACGATTAAAAGGAGAATAAGATCGAAAAGTCGTGTTTAATAGTTCATGTATAAAGACACATCTTTGCTTCGATGTTAATTTAGTTTGAATATGTTCTGATTCAATAAATTTTTCTCTTAATACAATCAAATAATAATTTTGATTAAATAATTCAGCAATGAGAATATGAAATGGTTGTGTGACCAAGAGTGTAATTATATTTTCGTCATATTCGATCTTTTTCAATATTGTTGTACGTTGATGTTTAGAATTTTCAAATGCAGTGATACAATGTATAAATACAGCTGTCGCTTCCAAATATTTTTTCATTAAATTCAATATTAATTCGATTTTTACTATTTTCACATTTTATTCCATAAAAACGTAATACATGTTTTGACATAATACATTTTGTTTGATTCCATAAGAAATAATTCATAGAATCGTTAAATATTACATTATTAAGATAGATTTGACGAAAAAAGGAAGTCTCACAATTTGAATATGTTTCCATTAGATGAAGTATCGGTACACAAATATACTCATTTGAGAACCCAATTTGACATCTATGTTCGTTTGATAGACATTGTATTCCAGGACAATTAAGTTCGTCGGCACCATTTAGACAATGCCAAACGTTATCACATTGAACATTTGGAGTGTTACATGGCCACCATTCACAATGGGTTTCATCGGTTTCATTCAACATATCCATCCATAATAAATCATTTTGACCATCACAAAAAAGTTCAAACGGTATGTTGCCTTTTAAAGTATTTCGTTGATTCTTAGTCAGTTCATCTTCTCCATTTCGACAATTTTGATCTCCATTTCTAAGTGCAATCCTTGATAAACATTTATTTGGTTCAGATTCACAAATAAATCTCCATGAATCATTTAATTGACAAGCAGGAAATAATTCATCTTCTCCGAAATAACAATCATTCCAACCATCGACTAGTCGATGTTTTGAGATGCATTTCAATGAAAGTGGACAATGAAATAAGGACGAATGTGAACAGTTTTGATCTGTACCAATCGTTGAACAGCGACGAACGAGATCTGCAAACTTTTCCTCTGGCCACATGTCTATTGTCTCATTTATTAGACTAACAGTTCGGCAACAGTTGAGTTCTGTATTCATTCCAATATCTATCGAGCAAGATGTCAATGCAGGACACCGACTTACATTAAAACAAATAAAGTCAGGTGTAAGATTTTTCTTCCAACCAGTAATTGATCGATTCGTTAACTAAACAAATTGAAAGAAACCGTACATAATGGGATATTCAGATAAAGCAAACCATTTTGACCGGCAACGATTGGCAAGAAATTCGCAGGTCGGTATTTGTATATGAGTAAGAATCATATCGACACGAAGTAAACAGCGTACTGCTTGTTGACAATCTAGGTTCGAAATATAATCGAGCGAAGTAAATATAGTTATTGTCATTTGTTCATCACGTCTACTTCTACACATACCATTAAAACGTGGTATCGATTGTGCTTTAAATTCATCGTCACCGCATGGAAACGTGAAAAAACGTCGACTTGTACTTTCCTCACATCGAAATGTCGGAATTCCGATGCATTTAGAATTGAAATAGGTAACTTCGTCATTCTCATTCACTTCGTCAGTAGTGTCAAGACAGTCTATCATAGTCTGTCCATCATTAACAAATGTAGACGGAATGCACTGTCCGCCGAAATGACATCGAAATTCATTGTCGGAACATTCATTCACTTCCAATATTTGACACAACTGCTCATCTTCTTCATTAATACAATCAGAATTACCGTACAAATTTCACGCCAGTCGAGACACATAGGTGATGGACCGCGATAGCAGCCAGTTAAAAATGGATAGCACGTACCGATCGTGAAATTTTTCAGATTTGGCGCAAAAGTACGGGGCGTAATAATAAACTGAACGACATTACTAAATGGAGGCAGTATGTCATACTCAATGCTGTATTGACATGTAGGACCAAACCAGGGCGATGAACAATTGTAGAATACTTCACTTGAATTTTCGCCATTTTTTTCGTATCGTTCTGCAACATCTATCGGTGCTGACCAATCAAGTAATTGTGCGCTTGTCACACCTTGTCGATACAATTCAGTAAAATTGATGTTATTTCCTACATTTTCATATGATCTCATAGATAGCTTTTCTCGTTCTTCATTTTGGTCAAGTCGTCGGCAATAAGGAATTAAATGATAATTAATAGTAAGGTGCCGGTAATGCGAAATTCAAGTAAAACTTTTTTTTGCCGTTTTTTTTACATCATTTGATAGAGTGAGAGTTGCTGATCACGATAAACAACTTTTTACCTTACACAAATATCTTTTTTAGGTCGGAAAATACGAAAAAATCGAAGTATGTCGTATTTTTCGTGTCGTTTTTATTTTTTTGTGTACTAAGAGAACGACGATAGATGAGATAAAGCGCAAAGGGTGAAATGAGAAGAGAAATGATACGGACCTTGTTCGAATAAATGCTTGATTAAATAATAAAACGTTTTTTGGTTGTATTTTGCTCTTTTTTTAATAGAAAAATATATGGTTTTAAAAAAATAGAACGACGAATGTTGAATATAAAAAAATGGAGTAACAGCTCATTTGAAAGAATGATGGTTCATAGTCGAAAAAGTGCCTGTTTATTCTATTGACTGTAAGTCTATAGTCATACGAAATAAGTGATTGTGTGTGTGTGTGTGAGGTGTGACGGACGTACATACACAGAATCACTAATGAGTGTCACGTACATTGATCCACATAGGTTGATGGGTTCGAGTTTTCTGTGGAATCAGAGAAGTGTAGCACTTATTCGGGCTACAAGCGCGGACCGAAGGGACGCGGGAGCATTGTCTGGAATTTAGACGTCTGGGGTTCTTTGGGGGCTCTCGAGAAAACTTGTATAGATTGAAGCTACTGGCAAGCGACCGTTACAAGTACCTCCCTTGCCTCACGAGATTCGTCCTCGAATCTTGAGATAAGAGCGTCATTTTTATTGGATACTATAAAATTTAAATATATCAATTAGAGATTTACGCAAGAAGTTTCTGGTGCTAAATTTTCAGTGTTTTCATAAAAGAAGAGAATTGACCGCGATTTTCTCTAAATCTGAATATTAGAAAAATATTTCGATAAATTTATTTCATTCAAAAGTTTGACTGCCGTCACCCTCAAAAGTCTTAACTCTTTCGAAAATAGTGCATCCTTTTCAATTACATCATCAACAACAAATTATATCAACAAGTGAATATGATATATTGATGAAGATGGTGGAGATCATTTAGATGCGCAAAGAAACATCTGTGCAAGGTGAAGTTTAGCTGAGAAATTAAGTAAAACCTTTAACTACGACAAGCGGGTCGGCCAACAGGATAAAAGTTGCATAGTTGTCATCAAAAGCTGGTCGGGTTCCATGAATAACGGAAAATTTTATCTTCACTTCTTGCTCTCTCACTCTTCTATACGTCCTATTAATAATATTAGAAAAATAGTTGCCTTAAAATTACGCAACGTTCACTTTTTGTTAAGTTGCGTTAATATAACTCAACTTTAAAAATGACCCGATTTTGCCATTTCAGTACGCATAGACTATAAGATCTTATCGATATAAGCATCTAATTTTTTGTCTGTAATAGAATGAGAAGATGAATTATGTGCTTCTTGTAATTCAGGCTTCGGTGATTCCTGTGAAATATTTGTAAATGTATCGTCAACTCCTTCAGGTTTTTGTGCACTAGAAGCAGAGGAAAATGGATCAAAATACGCTAGCTTTCGTCCACAACGGATGTGAGTCCATCATGGGCTCAGATTTGCCACCATCACGCTAGGTATATTTTTATCAACAGTAACAATACTGTTAGCTATCGATAAACGTGTATCAGCACATGTTGTAGCCGCTTCCCACTTTTGATCACTTATTTCCGGTGACGTCTTAACAGAGACAAAAGTTTGATGAAAGGTAGGTAATCTTTTCTTTTCCACTGCGTAGACAGGAATATCTAATCTACCAGGTTGATGTAAATCAGTAGAAATAAGAAATTTTGCTAAAGGCTTGTCTCTTAACCAATACCTTCGGTCCTGAATATCTAGAACTAGGCCGATTTCGAACATAAAATCAGTCCCTAACAATACTTTTTGATTGAATTTACGTGCAAGGATAACAGGATGACGAACAGTCTGGCCAGTCACGGTCACATCAGCTTCTGTCTAGCCAACTGACTCAATGGAACTCCCATCAGGACCGACAATATCAGCACCTGAATAAGAAAGAATGGCTTCAGTGCCTTTTAAAAGTCGCCAATAATCAGAGCTAACTATACTATCACCAGCACCGGTGTCTAAAGTGAAAATGTCGACTGTTCCAAGTAATTTTCCTTTAGCTGCGGCACAACCTCGTTTAATAGTGTAAAAACTATTTGAAACATTGGAAGAAATGGCATTTTCTTTGATTTTACCCTCTAATTTAAGGATGGCGGTAACAAAACCTGAAAATTTGGACGATAAAAGACGTTGGGTATTTTCTTTAGCCTTCCCTTTTCCTTCTAACTTCCTCTGTTCTTTTTAGCTTATTTCGCTTTCTTAAATTCGAGTTTCAGATGATGAAGAAGAATTAGAAGATGAAGAATTAGGCTGAGAAAAACTTAATTTATGCAGTTTTTCAGGTGAAAAACTTGGCAATAGGGAATATCCAGTCTGAGATTTTTGTTCTAAAATTGCAGATGTTGATGATGACACAGTTTGAGATATTTTTGATGAGAAAGATAAAGGCGCACAATCGGGTTTCGCATGAGAGAATACCTCTCCATTACGGTCGGATTTTGCCAACCTCGCAAGCAATTTTAGAGCCTCTATCTTGCCTTTTTCTTTAGATGGGACAATTGAGGATTCATTAAGGAGATGGGAGATAAGCATATCCTCACTCAGCTGCTCTCCTTTCAGTTTAAACGATTAGGCTCTTTGCTGATTTTGAGAACCACCACCGGAAAAACTGAGTGCAGCATACAAATTGCGCTGATTATTGCCTTGTCTTTGGAAAGAAGTATTTGCATTATGTCCAGTTTTCTTACAAATAGCGCAAGGTACACCACAGTCTCGTTTCCAATGTCCATTTTTTATGACAAATTTTGGACAAGGACCCGGAGGTTCTTTATGTCTATTCTCAGATGATGAGTTTTCACGATTAAAATTTGACTGATTTCAAGAAAATGGCAAAAGAGACTAATTAGTGGTAGTGACTTTCCATGCTGAGATATATCAGAATTTGAAGAATTAAAAAGATTTGGAGGCAAAGAGACAACTGATGTGCGTAAATTAGCAGCAGCAACAACAGTAATACGTAAATCGGTTGAAACTGGTGCCATTGTTTTAACCGATGTTAACTGTGTTTGGGATGCATTTTGTTGCTGATCAAAAGAGCGAAGTATTTTCTGTGCGTCTTTCATCATAGACATGGCTGCAATCATTAGTTTATTCATAGACTCCAGCATGTCATTTGAAACAAGAGAAGCGCGAGAAGCAGCTTTCGAAGTAGTGGACCTAACTGTTCGACACCGAGATGAAACAGAGGCTACTGAAGGCGTCGGTGGAAGTTTCGGCTTCACAGAAACTACAGATTTATCGCATTCTAAAGAGGATGCGTCGTGTTCAGTAGAGCTACCCAAACGCGGACCTTCTGCTTTCTTATCCTTATCGATTGGTAATTCTCGAGACATATTGAATTCTGCTAAGGATATGCTTTCTCGAAAATCAGAGTTACACCACCACCGCCTAAACAGTTTCGGGTAGATCTTACAAGAATATCACAAACGGAAAGATAAGATGTTACCAAAACACTAAGAGAACTTGAATGGCGATGATGTAATTAATAGATAAAGAGACGACGTTACTAATTAATAATTAATAGTAATAATAATAAGGGCGATATTGCTGGTGGTGCTGATTGAATATATATCGCGGTTCGTTGCTCAAGCGAAACAGATGAATAGCGCTCGATGTCCAATCGTTCGCATGTCATTCTTGATTTAAATAAATTCTATGTGATTTTTCATATGACGAAAAGGACGTCTACGTGTTTTCTGAACAACTCAAGAAGTTGCCAGGGTGTAGAGTTGGTGAAATACGCTGTGCATGAGCGCTCGTGTAAAATACGCTTGAGCGTGAGCGCGCTCATGTTTTCTCTGCTCGATTCGTCCCGTACCTACGCGCTGATCATTTTTAGTGGTATACGAACAGTGTTTTCGATCGAATGTATCAATGGAAAATCAGTTGCACTGCATTCGTATTTTAGCGATGTCGAAAAAGCGACATGTCCGGAGCCTATTTCGAAGCTATTGGTCAGCTAAATGCAGCCGATGGCTTGCACATCCTACAATGCAACTATGGATTTACGTTGGGATGGATTACATCCTAATTATCGAGGCGTTCAAAAAATGCGCGATACTATCACTCGCTTTCGTCACTTACAGACTTTTTTCAATTATTTCTAATTTTTGTATTGTAGTATCATTGACGCTTGCTGTTTACTGTGCATATTTCTTTTACTCTTTGTTAATCCATTTTTAATAAAATGCGCGTAAAACTATAGAAGTTGAGAAAAAGCACAATGTTTATTATGAATAAAGCTTGCTATATAAGTTAGAATTGCACAGGAAAATGATTGATTATACTACACGCAGGTTTTCTTCGCTTTACGAATTTTGTCGTCATTTTTTAATTCACAGATATTTAATAATATCCACATCGAACGTGACTGGTTGCAAGCTTTAAGTATGTTCGTACAGTGAGAGTACTATCTACTGCAAGTAGTCCGACTTCAACATAAGTTCATAGTAACGAGATCGATCGCTCACAAAAGTACTCCATGAAGCGCCGTTTCGGTCTTGCTGTAGAAGAACAAATGCAGAAAAGAAAGAGGGACGGAAAAGAACCACAGAACGGAAAAGAGGCTGAAAATTACTATAGAAAATCGCAGAGACTCCGGTGATGTCATCAAAAGCTCAAAATGAAATTCAAAAAGACCCGCTATGTCCATTAGAATCATTCTCATTTGAATAAAGTTATCGAAAAACACTTTACCGTTTTATCAAATAGCAGACAAAAGAAATGCTTCTATTTTATTTACTGTTTATTAACTAGAGATTTGAGTGCAATTGCGTATAACCCTCCCATAACAGGTCTTGCTGTGAAATAAATTTGTTTGTTGGTTGTTGTATTATAAACATCTGAAATTGGTTGACGAATCGGTGTTTGATGAGCATACGTATAAATATTTGTTATCATTGCCTGTTGTTGTTCTTGCTGTTCTTCATTACATAAAGCAGCAATCCACAGTGTTGAATCACATTTTGCAAGTGTACTACGAATATCCAACGGTAAACCAAATTGTTGAAATTTTGATAAATAATATTTTAATTCAATTTGTCTCACTCGATCATCGAATAAATCTAATTTTAACAAATATTGCCAAATTAAGTTGTATTTTTGTGACCATGTGTTTGGTTTATCATATTCTAGTTTGAAATGCTCTCCATCAACAGCCAGCTCATACCATTGTTTTGCATACAATCGAGCTTGTTCAACATATGCACGAGATTTTTCTTCTTTACCTTGATATTTCAATAGCAAAGAATAGGCACCTAAGCCAACGATACCTTTAATGGCTAAATTTGCATTATGGGCCGATGGACCTTCCTAAAGAATGACAAAGAGACACTGATTTTTTGACACTGGAAAAACAACAAAGCCACTTACAAAATCATCTGTACACAATTGATATGATGGATCTGGTAGTGATTTATTTAAATAATTTGCCCACATTTCTAGTAATTGTGAATATTTTTCTAAGTATTGAATTTGCCCTTGTTGTTGTTGAGCAATGGCAGCTAACATGATCAGAATATTTCCAGTTTCTTCGATTGGCATTTGTTCTTGTTCCTGAGGTAATACGTTACACAATGGCCATTTGCCTAAATGGTGTGGTGTCCAATCTAAATTGTACCTTATGTATGTTTGATTATTTGAATAATCTAAGATTGGTAACAACAAAAGTCTTACTGCTTCGGGTGCCAAATATAAATAAAATGGTGATGCTGGAAATATGACATCAACAGTGCTAACAGCACCACCAGAACTTTGTTCTTTCATAAATAGCCATGGTGTTTGTTCTTTATCATTCCATACACAAACACAAGCACCCATTACTTGACGATGTAACAATGATAATAAAGTTGCATACTTCGGACCTTTGAATAAAAACGACATTCACGCATGTCTGTATGAAATAAAGTGAGCTTAATTACCTGCAATTTCCGTATATTTTTCAATTAATTCTTGATCATATTGATCGGCCTTCTCTTTTATTTGCGCATACTTCTGATATGCATCTTTTAATAACAGTTCCCATTTGTTGTTGTAAAGATATTTCCAGTATGGTTGTTGATATGATGAATAATAGTTCATTGAATAAAGATCATCATAGGCTAATAAAATAAACGATTTGTAGAGATCTTTTTCTTGTGTAATTAACCCGTAATCATAAAAATAAGCATTAACAGGCCATTGATCACTTACAGATTGTGGTTGTTGATTTGGATCTCGGTTAGGTAATTGTTGCTGATTATTCAGAAATGCTTGTCTAGCTAGAGATGCGTTTGTTTGTGTTGAAGATTTTAAAAATAACGATTGCGACGATATGTAGAGATGGCCCCAATTTGGTTTCGTACTATCACCATAATCGACGAATGCCAGTTGACTGTACGATTGATACCTGTAGATTTTTGCATAGGGGATTTCTTCCTCCATTGCCAATTCTTCCCAAATGATTTGATCACTGATATTGTTTACAACGAAATCGCTTACAAAATCAAAATAGAGCTGAACATATTTATCGTCATTTGACATCTGTGTCTGCAATAGTCTTACGGTATGAGTAATATATACAATGGGACAGGAAAAATAGTGAATTAATTCTGGAAATGCTGGTTGAGTAAACTCCAATGTCAATTCAATTCCATCTTGTTGAAATAAAAATTTGGTTTGTGTTGGTTGTACACGTTTTGATATTTGTTGCATTGGTCTGATTGTTCCATTAGTTATAATTTGATGATTATCATGGATTGTATCAACACCCAAAAATCGGTAAACATTTTGATTTATTCGTATATAACCGACCATTGTCATGTTCAATGTTTCAATCCAATGTTGTGGTTGACGATCTGTTAAATTATCAGAGTTCATCCAGACAGCAATTGATGGATTCAAAATAAACAATGGAATTGATGGTGGACGAAAATCATTAATTAACTCGCATCTGATTAGTTTAACCAATGTTATGACAATAGTTAACCGTTGCAATACCATTTTTCAACTAAAAAATAAAAAGCGCCTGTTTTCAGTTAGTAGAGAATACTGCTTCGACTCTTGTGGGAGAAAGATTGTTTCTTGCAGAAACAGTTAAAAATGTTCACAAAGAGAATTTCTGTTTTTCTCCTTTATTTTTTTTCATTAAAAAAATGTGAAACTTTATCTTGTTTGATGACTTGAAATCGACCAAATGTCCTGCGTTTCTCTTTTTTCTGTACTGTTGCTGTATAATTATATTTTCTTTTTCTTTTCTGTCTTTTTGAAAGAACAAAAAAGCTGACATTAGTATTTTCTTTTTGTGCAGGATCGACTAAACGTTTACTTGTGATGTCCTTGCTTGTACAAAATAAATTTGAACTTAATTTTGAGATCTCCCACATGGCAACAAAGTAATACGAATGTTAGTTAAAATTCAACCTTATTATAAATACTAAATGATTTTAAAGTATAAGTCTGTGACAGACATATCTGCAGAAGTCAAAGTTTAATCTGGATAAAACTTTCGAGGAACGTTGGTCCTGTCAGCATTATATTATGAAAAAATATTTCACGTTTTATCTATTAATTTTTGCACGACATATTCAACTATGATTCAAAATGAAACTGTTTGTATGGAAATCGAAAACACGAAATTATTATTTACTGCATTACGAGATAAATATTTACAAGCTTGCATAAACGTTACTTCTTTTAATAACGTCTCATCCAATGAACGCAATTCCACAGGAACAACAGATCGCATATCAACAAGACTTTCGATCGAAAAACAAGAACTGATTTTTCCAAACTGACAAGCCAACAGAAAAGAATCAGAATTATTCTTCAGACATTTAGATAAAATTATGCACGGAAGAACTTTTGTATCCGTACTGGTACGATCGACTGTATTAACTCGCACCCCAACACAGTCACCAACATCACACACAGAAGACAAACTTTTCATATGAGAATCGTATAATTTTTGGCGTTTAGTGGTCTCATTGAGGTAATTTTCTGTCGCAAATTTTCCAATTTCACTATGTTGAGAAACTATAGGACTACCTGTTAAAATTGGACAATGTACAACATGTTTAGAATCAACTGAATCACTTCGGACGAACCGGTCTTGGTGGAAAACGTCGAATGGAGGAATGTCGAAAGGGAAAAACGTCGAAAAAAACTAGGAAAGGAAAATGTCGAATGGAGAACGTCGAAAATGCAAATACTGAACAGAAAACATTTCTGTACTGTGATAGTGTATAAATGAGATATTTTATTATAGTTATTGAAGATTTATTTATTATAGCAGTTTTTATTAAATATTAAAAAAAAGAATTCAATGACAGTCGGCAGCATAGTCGTGGCGGCTTCCGATAGACTAGCTTTAGCGACTTCCTTATCGTAAATTTTTGTGATTGAATGAAGAATGATGAAGAACATAAATCAATAATGGTTTACCTTTATTCGATGTTATAAACGACACTGCTGGCTTCATTGCTTCGCTTTGGCTGATAGCGGCGTTTCTTTTTCTACATGTGAAATACAGACAATAACGATTTTTTTTCTCTATTTTTATAAATCATATAAGAGATGGACGGATCTTTTTATTCTCAAGCCGATGACCTTCAGTCTTTGAAGATGTTATTTTCCTTCGTCGATATGAACTTTGTCCATTCATTTAGTTTACTTTCGACGCCGTATCTACTTATTTCATCAGAGATTTTTTTGTCATGCATTTTATGAATATACCTATGCAGAAGAAAAAAGTCGTTCGGTGAGTGCGGCGAGTACTCGAAAACAGGCCCTCGCCGAGGACTCCAACCATCGGAAAATGACACTGCGGACCCTGGATATAAGCTTTCGAGGGGTATCGATTTCGAGCCCTCGAATTTCAGATAGGTAGCGAGCACTCGAGAAAAATTTCGAGCCGTTGAATAGAGGTGTTCGGGACTTCCAAGCACTTGCTCTCTCGAGGGTGCGACGAGGGCTCGGAAGTACCCCTCAAAAGCTTATATCAAGGGTCCGAAGTGTCATTTTCCGAGGGTTGCAGCCCTCGGGGTCCATCGAAAGCATATTTCCGAGCACGTACCCTTCGAACACCTGGTTGAGTACGAAATGTATTTTCAGTTTGAAAGGACAACTAGGAGTTTTAATAAAATAAAACACGATAAAACAACCTTTAATATTCAGCGTGGCAGGCTTCATTTAAGTGCTATAGACACCTTTTCAACTTTTCCACATTTTCTCTGTCGACATTTTCCCTTTCTATATTTTCCTTCTTTTTTTTCAATGTTTTTCCATTCGACGTTTTCCGTCAACCCCATATTTTCGAGCTTTTTGTACATCATTCAGATATTGTTTAGAAATGAAAATTCGATCATCTTGACGATGCTTTAGAACAGATTTATTGATATGGCTAGTCCACGTTAAATCGTAGGACAATAGTAGCCCTAAATACCTAACCTCCTCACGTAAAATAGGTATTCCGTACAACAGAAGCGATGGAAAAGTAGAAACTTTTTTGTAATGATAATGTGTGAAAAAAATGATAGATTCACATTTTAACTGATTAAGAGGTATAAACCACCTGTCAGATCACTCCTGCACTTTTTCAAATCTCTGTTTAATATTGTAATACTTTCTAACGGATCCTTTTTATGATTAAATAATATTACTTTCTACATCATTTGTTATGTCATCTATATAGACAAGAAATAAGAGCGGTCCCAAATTGAGCCTTGGGGCACTCCTAGTAACTGAACATTGTTTTGAAGTACAACCATCTAAAATAGTTTGAACTGTTCGATCTTTTAAATAATTTTCTATCCATTTATGTAGGGGAGTCTTCAAATGCGTCCCTAAAGAAGGGTCTGTTGTTTTAGCTAAAATCGCTTGATTGAAAGTCTGCACTACAGACAAGGTTGTTTATACAGTTCATGATCACTGTTTATTTTTATTTATATTTTATTTATTCCTGAGTTAATAAAGTATATGTGTCTGACAAAAAAGTTGAAAAACAAATGTTGTTGTCTGAAAACTTCAAATTCAAATTCTTAGTTGATTTAATAGTTGGTTTTAGACATACGAAAAAATGTTGGGTGAGTCTATTGACACTCCCAGGAGTGTCAACAAGGAGCTATTGCCACGCCCGGGCGTGTCAACAAGAAGCCATTGCCACTCCCTGGGCGTGTCAACAGGAAGCTATTGCCACTCCTTGGGCGGGTCAACAAGAAGCTATTGCCACGCCCGGGGGTGTCAACAAGAAGCTATTGCCACTCCCTGGGCGTGTCAACAAGGTGCTAAGATGAAGAAATCTTCTGAATATTTTCCTTGAGGTTCATAGCAAGCAGTTTTATACATTTTCACAGACTAACTGAGT